TTATCCCAATGACTGAATAAACTAGCCCAATCCTGATCAAAACTAGCCCAATAGCATATCAAAACTAGTCCAATGGCCAGTAAAGACTAGCCCAAATTAGAACAAAACTACCTCAATGGCATATCAAAACTAGCCCAATCTCGATCAAAACTCGTCCAATGTCCAATCAAAACTAGCCCAATCTCGAACAAAACTCGTCCAATGTCCAATCAAAACTAGCCCAATCTTGATCAAAACTAGCCTAATAGTATATTAAAACTAGCCCAATCACAATCAAAACTAGCCCAATAGCATATCAAATGTAGCCCATGGGACAATCAAAAGCCCAAACAGGGATAAAAAATGCCCAAAACTAATAAAAATGCCCCATCAAAACTATCCCAATATGGTCAATAAAAGCTAGCCCAAAACTAGACCAATCGCATATCAAACTAGCCCAATCACATATCAAAACTAGCCCAATGCCGAATCAAAACTTGGCTAAACTTTCCAAATGGCCAATTAAAACTTTTTAAATGACTGATCAAAACTAGCCTAAACTATCCCAATGACCATTCAAAACTAGCGCAATCTTAATCAAAACTAGCCCAATAGCAAATCACAACTAACCAACGTCCAATCAAAAATATCACAATGACTAATCAAATTTAAACTATCATAATGGCCAATCAAAACTATCCCAGTGACTGAATAAAACTAACCCAATGACCAATCAAAACTAGCTCAATAGCATATTAAAACTAGCCCAATAGCATATCAAAACTTGTCCAAAAGTATATCAAAACTAGTCCAATGGCCAGTTAAGACTAGCCTAATTTAGAACAAAATTACGTCAATGGCATATCAAAGCTAGCCCATTAGCCAATCAAACCTAGCCCAATCCCAATCAAAACTAGCCCAATGGCCAATCAATCCTAGCCCAATCTCAATAAAAACTAGCCCAATAGCATATTAAAACTAGCCTAATGGCCATCAAGACTAGCCCAATTCCAATCAAAACTTGCCCAATAGCATATCAAAACTAACCTAATGGTCCAATCAAGACTAGCCAAACCTAAAACAACACTAGCCCAATGGCCAATCAAACCTAGCCCAATCCTAATCAAAACTAGCCCAATGGCCAATCAAACCTAGCCCAATCCCAATCAAAACTAGCCCAATGGCCAATGAAACCTAGCCCAATCCCAATCAAAACTAGCTCAATGGCCAATGAAACCTAGCCCAATCCCAATCAAAACTAGCTCAATGGCCAATGAAACCTAGCCCAATCCCAATCAAAACTAGCCCAATAGCATATCAAAACTACCTTATGGTCCAATCAAGACTAGCCAAACCTAAAACAACACTAGCCCAATGGCCAATCAAACCTAGCCCAATCCCAATCAAAACTAGCCCAATGGCCAATCAAACCTAGCCCAATCCCAATCAAAACTAGCCCAATGGCCAATCAAAACTACCCCAATTCCAATCAAAACTAGCTCAATGGCCAATGAAACCTAGCCCAATCCCAATCAAAACTAGCCCAATGGCCAATCAAACCTAGCCCAATCCCAATCAAAACTAGCTCAATGGCCAATCAAACCTACCCCAATCCCAATCAAAACTAGCCTAATATAAATAAATAGTAATTTACTTTTTAAAATTTGGATTCCCTCCAAATTATGTAATCCCTAAAAGCTTTGTTTAAAAATTATGTTTACCAATCAAAACTAGCCCAATCCTGATTAAAAAATTAGAACAAACTGTCTCAAACCTGGCCCTAATTGAGCACATATACAGTGCACTCATACACATTTATTGTAGAGAAGGTGCATAAAGGAAATCCATCTTGTAGCAGGCTCTGCAAACATATTTGCATGTCACATTTAATAGAGGAAAGCAAATGTGGAGTTTGCAGGCTGAATGTGACCTGCTGGGTTGAAGAATGGATTGTTACTCACTCTCGCCGGCCAAAATAAAAAGGATTCATGTCTGCTGGTCTCAATGCTGGATCAATACACTGATTATTGGATGATAAAATCACCTGCTTCTGCTCCTGGCAGGATCTAGAAAAAAATATATATTGGCTGAAGGCATGAAATGCAATTAATCAACTCCTAATCTCACAGCTGCAAGGTGTGTGTGTGTGTGTGTGTGTGTGTGTGTGTGTGTGTGTGTGTGTGTGTGTGTGTGTGTGTGTGTGTGTGTGTGTGTGTGTGTGTTTGGGCACATGATACATACAGCAGACAGAATGCGATTCGGTGTCCTATTATACTTTCGCCAGAGGTGTTTTTTATTCTCTGATTAGAAGTTGGATAAGATCCAGATGCTGTACAAGTGACATTTAGATGAATATGGTTTCTCAGAAAAGAAAAAAAAACATGAGCAAATAGCAGCTGTTCAGAAAGCAGCTGATCATATAAATAAATAAATGTGCACAAGCTTTCCAATTCACCTGCTTCTTGTTGACAAACGATGCTGCTAGAATTAAACTCGTACGATAGTTTGATTATAAAGTATATTTGACACTATACACTATATACAGGTGTTTGACAATGAATTATATTATAGAAATATATTATATGAATATATATTATATATTATTATATTTGACAATGAATATTTATTAATCTGGGGTCAGACTTGCGTCAGACTTGCGTTTTCATTGCCTAAAGGGTACCCTATTGGTGGGTGTCATTTTTACATGAGGCAATGTCACAGTATGTATTTAATTTAAATTAATTTAATTTAATTTTGTTTTATTTATTTTATTTTATTATTTTTAAATTATTTTTATTTTAATATTTTATTTATTTAATTCAATTTATTTATTTAATTTATTTTTTTATTTTATTTTATTTGTTTATTTATTTAACAATTTGTTTATTTAATTAATTTAATTTAAATTCATTTCATTTTATTTTGTTTAATTTATTAATGTATTAAAAATTGTATTCATTAATTAAATAAAATTATTTTATCATATTTTAATATTTAATTTAATTATTTATTTTATTCATTCATTCATTCATTCATTTTTTTTCGGGTTAGACCCTTTAGTCATCAGGGGTCGCCACAGCGGAATGAACCGCCAACTTATCCAGCATATTTTTTATGCAGCGGATGCCCTTACAGCTGCAACCCACAACTAAGAACCACCCATACACCCTCATTCACACACATACACTACAGACAATTTTAGCTTACCCTATTCCCCTATAGCGCATGTCTTTGGACTGTGGGGGAAACTGGAGCAGCCAGTAAATAAATAGATAAACAAAAATAAGACAGAAAGAAAGAAAGAAAGAAAGAAAGAAAGAAAGAAAGAAAGAAAGAAAGAAAGAAAGAAATCTATCTCCCGTCTATTGTCTAGTCCCACCCTCCTTGTTAACCCATTATTAGTTAATTATGTTCATCTGTTTGTGTGTTAATTTACTTCTGTTTATAATCCCCTCATGTCTGCTGTCCTGTGCCAGTTCGTCATCATATGTCATCAATTGTAGCCTTGTCTTGTTGCCGTGTTCCAGTCCTGATCCCCGCCAGTCTTACCATCCTAGTTTGTTTTGATTGTTTGTTTCATTAGTGTTTTCCCCCTCGGGGTTATTTATTTTGCCTTTTATTTTATTTTATTATAAATAAATAACCTTTCACTTGGGTCCTCGCTCCTTTTCCCCCAACCCCGATCGTGACAAGAGCTTCATGACTGTCACAGCGCACTAAGGTCAGATGTTATTATAGTGCATGAAAGTCTTATTCTGGGTTCACACCAGACGTGGAACGCGCGGATAAATCGCGCTATTCACGCGTAAATAGCCGCGTGAACATTTGAGTTTACTCGCTTCATTCGCGCGTCAAACCCCGCTTCATTTGCGCGTCAAATCTGCTTCATTCGCGTGACGAACAGGGCTTCTGTCTGCCCGGTGACTGTAGCTTCGTTGCTAAAAGGCTAACATGGATTTTATGAAGAAAATAACAGTGTTAATGTACTTTATGAAGGCTGAAAAACAGCGTTGATACGTTTAGGACCATGTCTGAGTCCACTACACACTTTTAGAGGTGCATCCAGCTCTGTGAGCTCATAAACTCCTCCAGAAACTGAACCTGGATCACGAAGGCTTTCAAGGGTGCTTCTGACTGAGCCAAGCCCAGTTTGATGACTTGTTGTCGGTGTCGCCTGGAGGATTTCCCCTGGGACACCATCAACAGGTTCTACGTCACAATCACGCCCCCACAAGAGCAAGCTTCTGATTGGTTAACGCGGCGCGAATTTCCGCTAAAGTTCAGATTTTCGAACTCGAGAGATTCTTTCGCGCGTCAAACGCGCAAAATGCTCAATTCGCCTCGCACGTATCACGCTATTCGCACCATGCCATTCGCGCAATTCGCACCGCAGGATGTCTATTCGCACGTTTGCATTGACTTAACATGTAAATCACTCGCGCTTGATGCGTGTTCCACGTCTGGTGTGAACGCAGCATTAAAATGGCATAGCTTGTGCTTTCAAATTTTTCTTTTTTAAATCGAGAATCGAATTGAACCGTGACTTTAGAATGGAAAATGTAATCGATTCAAGGATTTGGAGAATCGTGACACCCTTACTATCCCATAATGCAGTGCGAGATAATTCATGAATGTGAGTGAAGCAACACAAGTAGCACAGGTAGGTCATGTGATAATGACAAATATCAGATGTAGTTGGTTCCAATTCCATTCACACTACTCACACTCGTACTACAAAGAACATGTGATCATAGTAAATTCAAATGTAGTACATACTCGAATAGTAGGTGATTTCAGACATAGCCGTGGTGTCTTGCTTGACTAATGCCTATTGATTGTTCCACTTGTGTAACCCATAAATGATTTGGCACGCAGCCTGCTATATTTGTCCCAGTTCAGAGCTCCTTCAGTCTGTGTGGCATGAATGATGCACCCTAGTCTGGAGTGCACTCGACTGTACTAAACCCAACAAATCTCCATCCAGCTAGTTAATTGTCTTCTCCTTATCTCTCCCTGTCCAGTGTGTATGGCTGTCCCGTGGCCAAGAAGAGGAAACCCCTGGAGACTCACGCGCTGGAGCCCGCAGCCAAAAGAAAGGTCTTCCTTACCGTGGTAGACCAGAAATGCTACACGACCCACAAAATAGAGGAGATGCACGAAGAAGAGGATGAGGAAGAGGAGTATACGGACAATGAAGAGCAGTATGAACAGGAGGAGGTGGAAGTGATTAATGGAGAAGAGGAAGAGGTGGAGCAGGAGGAAGAGGAAGTGTTGGAGGAGGACGATGAAGTGGTGGAGGATGGGGAAGAGGAGGGAGCAGTGGAAAGAGACGGGGAGGATGAGGAAGATGAGGACGAGGTAGAGGATGAGGAGGAAGAGGATGAGGAGCAGATTCATGAAATAGGTGAGGGCACAAATATCAAATTTCTTTATTTCTCCTGGGAATTGTACCATAAATAAACAGCGGGCATTGATACAGTTAAAGTAAAGGACACTCCACTTGATATAAAACAGAGTAAAATCACTCACTCACTGTCCTACGGTATATTCCCTGCTTTATCAAGGGTTGCCACAGCGGAATGAACTGTCAGTTACTCAGAGGATGCCCTTGCAGCTGCAAGCTAATACTAAAAGCAGGGCTTAATTTGGTCAAGTCCGGTCAGATCCAGTCAAGTCAGATCCGGATCTGGCACCTCTAAAATCTGATTCAGCACCTCATTTTACCGATCCCCCTCCTCACATGCACCCCCGCCCTGCCCCGCACTTCACTTTCTTCCAAAAC